AAATAACGGCTACGCACACAGTTGTGTTTTTTCCTTGTAGAAGAGGAATTATTATGGTCTGCACTCCAGTGTGGGCATTTTGTTCGATGTCTGTCTCCAGACACCGTTGTTGTTGCCAGTTCTCTGATTGAAGCTGCTTGGCTTTGTTCAGTCACCGCCTTGGCTGTGATTTATAGAAAATTCTGTTCATGTTTTTTTTTCCTTTTCTTTTTTTCCAGATTTGATGTGGCCAGTATGATGTCCGTGACACTGAGCTGTGACCATCGTGTTGTAGATGGAGCTGTTGGAGCACAGTGGCTTGCTGAATTCAAGAATTTCCTTGAAAAGCCAGTAACCATGCTGCTATAATTGAACCATGCAAAGCAGAATGTTCCTGGGTCACACTGTTCTGTTTTAAACAAGCTATTTAGACTTTAGTATTCAGACTTATTAAAGAGTTCCATTTTTTATTTTAAACATGTATTATATTATCTGGTAATGTTCTTACCAGTCTGTACAGAGAAAAGGTTTGCAAAAATGCTTTTCAAGGCAATATTACATCTATTCTGTATGTTTATACAGTTGGTTAACTTGCAAACTCTTCCAAAACAGTTTAGCATCCCAGATTTAAAGATGATCCAGGCAGTATGTGTGCTGCCGTCTGCTTCTAAGCTAGGTTGGATGAGGTGGGGGTGCATAGCAGGTAATTTCACCACCTCCGTTTTCAGAAATTTGAGTTGCAAACATCTCTCCACAGGAGTTCAGATGAGATGAAACTGAAATACAGGAGGTGAATTCCCTTATTCTATTCTCTTGCTGGGATGGGTGGCAATGGCAGATGCACTGAGGGACTGAAGCCCCTGGGAATAGTTTCTCAAAGGCCAAGTGTGAGCATTCCAAGTCTCTTTTGGAATTTAGCACTGGTTTGGACCTTCTCAGCTTTGGGATCCCTTCTGAGCACTTTAAAGGTGAAAGAACACTGATACTGTGGTGTCACATCTCAGGCATCACGGGGAACGTGCTGTCTTGTCATAGACTTTCACTTACATGTGCTTCTCATATGAAGATCTTTAATTGCTTTGCCTCTTGCTGGGTTAGTATCAGACTGTGATGCCATGGAAGTAACTGTTCTGTAGAATTTCCAAGAGACTTTGTGTGTAGGAAACCATGTAGGCAAATTACACATGCTCCTAATCCCACCAGTGGGTGTTAATCATGTGTGATGCGAGCATTCAGAAACTTTTTCAGGCTTTTTCTACCATAGGAGTGCATTAGTCACCAGTACTGCAGTGCTGCCCTGAATTGTCTGTGTTGTCCCAGCCTCAGCAAACTGCAGAATTGCTGTCCATGTATATATTGTATGTAAAATGTTGGAATTGCTTGTTGGACTTGAGTCCAGTTACCCCAGTCATTGTATCCCGAAAGGGGTGCAATGCTGGACGTGCTTGAGTTCCACTTCCTGCATGGAAATGTTTGTGCAAAAAGGAGGATGGTGGGGGAACTTCAGCACGACCAGGAGAATTGAACGGGGGAAAGTTAACCAAAAGCTGAACCGCACCAAACCAAAAAGAGACGAAGCTGATTTGTAGCTCTGTGTCTCACATTGAGTGTCCCCTGTAAAGTTCTGCTACAAAACCCACTAAAGATATTGAAAGAAAATACTGTGGAAATTAAATATTTTTGTGGGAACTATTTAATGTCTGGTTGCTGTGATAGCTGGTTTTCATGCCTGGCTTAAGCAAAAAAGTGCATTATGTTTTTGGGTTTTTTTTTTAATGATCTAAAATATCTGGGTTCCAGACTTGCTCTAGTGAACCTGTGTTCCATTAAATGTTTTGAACTACTAAAACACGTTGCAGTGCTTTTCTGTGGAGTCGTGTGGCTGTTTGTACTGCTGTGGCACAGGCAGCGCTGCTCAGCCGTTCCATCTGACAGCGACACTCACCCTGTTAACCTTCAGTTGTAATCACAGATATCCCGAGATGGTCATTAAGCACAGGATACCACGCAGCACCGAGCTTGAGCCTTCCCAGCTTCCCTGCTGCACTGCTCAGCAGCAGCTCAAGTTCTGGCTCATGGAAGCTTTAGTTTTCTCCCTGCAGTAAGAGCGGTCAACACCCTGCAGCTGCACTCCCCAGATGAGTCTGGAATAGGATTTGTTGGGCTGCAAGTCTCTCCCCCGTGTGTGCTTACAGTGCTGGTGCTGCCTGCTGGCTCTGATAGCTGCAAATCCCCGGTGCTTCTGTACAGCCTTCTAAGAAACAGAGGAGAACCTGGGGCTTCGTGGTCTTTCAGGAGTTTACATTTTAAAGATGCAGCTTTTGTCTGTTTTGATTTGCGATGTACCCTACAATACATCACTGCAATAATGCGATGGTGTGTGCATTTGCCATAGGCGCTAAGCTCCCTTTTGTTTTCCCCCTGGCAGCGACTACTAATTGTTCTTAGTAACCTTTCATTGCTTCTTTATTCTGTAAATGAATGCAGGTGGCTTTCCTGCCTGAAATGCTCCAAAATTGTTACTGGTTGCTTCCTGCCTGGAACTTCAATTCTTACCATGCTTTGGATATACAAAGCCTGTCGTTTCGTGGTCTCATTCACAGATTTCTAAACTGATAAGAAGCGAGGTCGGCACAGTCAATGACATAACCACAAAGTGCTGCAGGGAAGGTCAGCAGGGGTTGGCTGTAAGCAGGACGTGTAGAACTGTGTGTGATGCCTCTGCTGGCTGCTGCAGCATGAAATACACATCAGAGCTGCACTAAACACATTAATCCAGTAAGCAAAATAACCTATTGACCAACAACAACAAAACGCCTGCTACTGCTGTGTACTAATGATGTAATAAGTGTATGTGTGCATTTACATACAACTATTAATGTATTCAATTATTTCTTGAGTATTTACAGTCTTATGTTTTCCAAAGCTCAGTGGGCCACTATTCCTCCTGACTTCCTTTTCTACATATACCTTTGAGATATTCACCTCTGAAGATGAGAAAGTCCATTAACTCACTACCAATCAGGAGTCAGGATTCTCATTCTGGGCTTTTGTTTAGTTCTGTCATCTGAGAACACAAACTAAAGAATGCATCCCTTATTGCCCAGGCTTGGCAACAGGTGCTGTGATGAACAACACCCCTTTTCCTTTATTAAACACAGCTGTCGTTGTTTCTTCATCCACTAATTCTGGCAGATCTACTTGTAATTTGTATTTTTCAGGGACATTGATGATCACGTCATCCTAAAACAAGGAAGTAAGTGATTAACTACTTAGCAGTGAATTAGCAACAAGTATTTCTAAGAACGTGGTACAGACAGAAAAAAGTGAGGTTATTCTTGTTTGTCTTACCTTGGAAATTCTTAGATCACACTCAGAAACAGAGCTAACCTCAGGCAACTCAACTTTCAGTGTAATTCTTACTGGCTCGTTATTTGCATCCCTCACAGTGGTCATTTCATAGGCAGGGGTGCTGAGCTCCTCTGGCACTTCTGTACTGCTGATTTCCTCTATCAGCTGCACTTTAGACTGCGGTACACTTTCTTCCTTCAGCAGGACAGGAGCGTCGCTGCAGTCCTCAGCTTCTATGCTGTGCAGCAGCTGATGGAGTATCAGTTCTTTGAAGAAAAGTGAGGTTTTTACATCAGTCAGTTACTAAGAACTGAAACGTTGGCTACTTGGCAAATACACCACACAAATTTTAGCTCTGCCATTGGCATTTCTGTTAGACAGACCACTGCTTCTCCTTCCCTCACAACTTGCTTTCTTGCCGAGCTGTTAAGAGTTGCTGTTTTCAGAGTATTGGTTACAGCAGCAACCTCTTCTACTCACTTTAGAGGAAAAGAAACTTGGCACCACAAAGGATCAGACCCTGGCAGAGCTCCCATGTCTAGAGATTACAGGAAAAAGGAATTTGCTCTTTCAGTAACACTAGTTTCTTAACCCTAATAAAAAGGAAAGTAGAGACAAGCACCACAGATGAATGCAGGCAGATGGCAGCCTGGTACGAATCCTACCCTCTTACTCAATTTACTTTTTTAGAAGTGTTTGGTTTACGCTTAAGAAGTGGGGTCAGAGAGGTGAGGGCTAGGGATGCTGTAGAAATCAGGCCCTTAAAGACAGCAGAAGCAGCTCTCCACCTACCCTTCTCTGTGCTCTGACCGAGGTGGGGTGGTGGCAGCTGCCTGCCTTTCAGTCGTTGCCACATCCTTTCTGGGCTTCCTTTCAGCTTGAAAGATTCAATTTTGTACGAATGTGAAAGAATAAGGTTGCACCGCTCCTCTACGAATTTCAGCGTTAAATGAATCAAATGTTCCATTGCTTCTGGGTTTTCTTCTCTCCTCTGCAGAACATCTGGGTTATATGCAATATCTATAATGCTGTAAGAGGCTACAGAAAACAAGTTGTGTCAAAATTACTGTATTGGCACCACATCCCGCAGTGTCTGCAGACCCCATCCCTGCAGGCACTCAAGGCCAGATGGGATGGAGCCCTGGGCAGCCTGAGCTGGCGGGGGGCAGCGCTGCCCACGGCCGGGGGTGGCGCTGGCTGGGCTTTGAGGACCCGCCTTCCCGTTCGGGGTTCCCTGGGCACGGAGAGCCGCGCCCGCCTTCCCTTCGCTCCCCCCGCCCGGCGCAAGGCATCGCACCTTCCCCGCCCGCCACCTCCTCCAGCGGCCCCGCGATGACGGGGATGCGGGCCCGGGGCTCGGCAGGGGCCGGCACCCGCCTCCAGCCGCAGACGTTGACGAAGAGCGGCCCACAGGCGGCGCGAAGCCCCCGGCGCCGCTCCCCCGCGACCGGCAGAGTCCGCACGCACAGCCGGGGCTCGGGACGGGAGCAGAACCGCTCCGCCTCGGCGCGCCGCTCCCGCAGCAGCCGGCGGTATTTCTGCGGCTCGTTCTCCGCCATCTCGTCCAGCAGCGCCCACAGCCCCAGCGCCGCGTCCACCATCGCCTAGCGACAGCGACCGGAAGTGCCCCCCTTCTTCCGGTCCCGGCCCGCCCGGCGGCGGCACTTCCGGCCGGGAGCCGGGATCGGGCCGGGCGGCGGAGGCGCGGGTCCGTGGAGCTGCGCGGTGAGAGCGGGAGGGACGGAAAGAGGAAGGAGGGAAGGAAAGAAAGAAGGAAGGAAGGAAGGACGGACGGACGGAAGGAAGGAAGGAAGGAAGGAAGGAAGGAAGGAAGGAAGGATGTCCCGGGTGCCGGTGGGGAAGGTGCTGCTGCGGAACGTCATCCGGCACACGGGCGCACACAACAAGGTACGGCCCGGCCGCGGGCGCTGCGGCGGTGCTGGGCGCTCGGCCCCTGCGGCGCGGCTCCCGGGGGCAGCGCGGTGTGCCGGCGGGGCTCCGGCTGCGCTTTGTCGGCTTTCAGATCGCGTTCGCACGTAGCGGCGGCGTCGAGATGCGGGACGTGGGGAACGCGAGGTTCGTCCGTCCGTGCGGCGGTGAGCGGCTGGGCTCGCAGTCCGAGCCGGGAGCTCAACGTGTTCGGCCGTTCCCTTTTCGCGATTTTCAGATCCAGGAAGAGTCGGAGATGTGGAAGATCCGCGAGTGGGAGAGGCAGGCAGAGGAGACGTTCTGGCGGCGGCGGAGCAAAGTGCTGTCGGACACCTCCAGGTGGGCTCCGCACCGCGGGACGCGGCTGAGCCCCTTTGCCACAGCAGAGGGCGTGTTGTGATCGCGGTCTCGTAGTAACGTATGGAGACCGTAGTGGTTATATAGTTATATTTTCACCTGGGAGAGTTCAGACCGGGGCTTAAATCTGACCTTTCATCAAAGAACCACAGAACTGTAGAGGTTGGAGAGAATCCCACTGAGTCCAACACCTGCTAAAGCAGTTCTCTATGGCAGAGCACACAGATGGGCATCCAGACGGTTCCTGAATATCTCCAGAGAAGAGGAGACTCTGCCACCTCTCCTCTCTGGGCAGCCTGTTCCATCACTTAGACAGTAAATAAATTTTTTCTTGTGCTCACTTGGAGCTTTCTGCGTCCCAGTTTCTGCCTGTTGCCCTTTGTGCTATTGCTGTGTGCCACCAAAAAGAGTCTGCTTCTATCAACTCACTCCCACACTGCAGATAGTTATAAACACTGCTGAGTGCCCTCTCAGCCCTCTCTTCTCCAGGCTGAACAGCCCCAGTGCTCTCAGCCTTTCCTTATGGGAGATGCTCCAGGCCCTCTTCATAATTTTCAAAATTCAGCTGGTGCTGACCAAACTGCAGTTTCAGTCAAGTCAGTTCTGTTCTCCAAGTTCCCCATTTTCTGTGTTTATAACAGCTGTGTATCACTGCAAATTGTCAGTCTCCTGCAGAGCTGTTTGTTGTGACAAGCGAGGTGACCCCTTCTAGCGCAGTGCCTTGAGCATCCCTGCATGCCACGAATTGTGCTGTGTGCAGTAGGCAGTGATAAATGTGTAAATTTATTTACAAATAATGTAAATGGTGTTAGTTACTGAACTGGTTGTAGAAGAGCTCTAGTGATGACTGTCTGTTAAAATGATAGTTGGTCTTCTTGCATAGATGGACACCCAAGACTTGCTGGATTTTTGCTCCCCTCGCTGGACTAACCCCTTGCTCAGAAAGTTTCTCCATCAGGACTGACAGCTGAAGGACAACTGTTCTCTTTCTGCAGCAGTCGGATGCGCAGTGATGGCTTTGATGAGGAGGGCCACGGGGCTGACTGGAAAACAAAGAACTCCCGTTTTCTCAACCCAGTCGAAGATGATCTTTTGAGAGCACGGTCATGGAATAAAAAACTCTACGAATGTGAAGCCAACATGCCAGACAGGTCTGTGGAGGGCATCAACATTCGGTGACCATAATTGTAACTAGAGCATCTTTCATAGCGTCATAGAATCACAGAATGGCCTGGGTTGCAAAGGAGCACAGCACTCATCCAGCTCCAACCCCTGATGTGTGCAGGTCGCCCGCCAGCAGCCCAGGCTTCCCAGAGCCACATCCAGCCTGGCCTTGAATGCCTGCAGGGATGGGGCATCCACAGCCTCCTTGGGCAACCTGTGCCAGTGCCTCACCACCCTGTGTGTGAAAAACTTCCTTCTAATATCCAACCTAAACCTCCCCTGTCTCACTTCAACACCATTCCCCCTTGTATTCTGGAGTACTGTACTGAAACTTACTACGAAGTAGTGTTTGATCTCATCCAGTAAGTCAGATGCACTTTGCACTGACACACAGAGTGTCTGATTTGAATTTACCAAATTTGTATTTATCAACAGAATTCTTAAGTCACAGTAAGCAGCAAAAGCTCAGCCCTGCATTTTCCATCTAAGTTTAGTATTTGTTACTTTGTCCAAGGATAAGTCTAAAAATGCAATTCAGTGCTCTCTGGGGTTATTTTAAATAAATATGAGTTGTATTATTGCTGTGATTAGAAGTAGGAAGGAGCCTAAAAACAGAAAGTGCTTTTAAACTGCTAACCAAATCAGTTGGTTTTCCTTCTTTTTTTTGGTACTGGGAAGGTTCTGATGCCTCTCTTGTTGTCTAAACCAATGCTCATTCTGTGGCTCTGTCTTTTCAGAAGTTTTTTTCCCTGAACTTCGGTCAGTTTGTTGCTAATAGATGTTTCTACTTTCTCATAGATGGGGCCACAGTGGCTATAAGGAGCTGTACCCTGAAGAGTTTGATACAGATAGGTAAGGCTAATGGGGCCGCAGATGTATCCCAAATTTGTCAGGCTACGTAGGGAATTTTACAAACTGAGATTATGAATCTACTTTTAATGTCAAAGCAGCACTATTGAGTTTCAGATACCCACTGAAAAAAAATGTGATGCATTAATGTGGTTCCCTTCTTGCCTGAGTCTCAGGAGAGGGTTGTATCTCTTAATTAGACGTTTGGCTTTAACTTGAGTTACTAAAATGCTCTGAATGTTGGGGGTCTGGGCCAACAGAGAACCAGAGCAGTTGGCTGAATCCAAATCAGATGAATCAGATATCAGCTCAGGGTTCCCCTTTGCCTTATAATATACCCGTGTTTTCTGATTTGCACTTTATCTGGAGAGAATCAACTCTCCCAGCACCCTGGAAAGTGGAGACTTAGCTCTAAAATAAGATCTTAGAACTGATCATTCCAAGGTTCACCTAGCAGTAATCAAATACAATATTTGTCAGACTTACAGATTGGAAATAACCCTTCATAAATTAGTTTTTCATCACTCACTGGCTTTCAGTATCTGTTCTCCTTGGTTCTGGCTCAAATACCTTAAATGGAGATAGTAATAAGGTGTGGACTCAAGCTGTTAACAAGCATTTGAAACAAAAACACAGCTACTAAGTGTGCTTCCCTGAACTATTCAACTGAATTGATGGGCTTGCTTGAAACAAGTCCTGGCTGTTCTCTGCCTGCCTGTTTGCTTTCTTCTTATCATCCTTTGTTCTTCTTACAGTGACCAGCAAGAAGGAGACAAACAAAATGCTGTCAATGGAAAGAAGAAATCTCATCTGAGAAAACAAACTGCCCACGAGTTGCACAAAAGGAAAAAAACAAAGAAATCGCACAAGAAAAAGCAAAAAAAGAGATCACACAAAAAGAGGAAGAAAAAGGACCAGGGAAGGTCATCGTCAGATTCCTCCAGGGAGAGCGAATGCTCTGAAGAGGAGACTTCAAGCACTCAGAAGGGGAAACACAGGCGCAAAAAGAAGACCAGGAAAGTGCCTGCTAGGGAACCTACCTCTTCCTCTGGGCAGGAAAGTGACTTTTCCCATGCAAGCCGCTCAACCATCAGCAGCTCTGAGGACAATGAATCTGAGGAGAAAAAAGAGAAACACTTCACTAAAAAGAGAAAGAAGCGTCACAACTCTGTGTCGGAGCGGCACAGCGAAGTAGCAGAGAAGAGGAGCAAGAGAAAGAACTGGAAAGTGGCCGCTGACGAGAAGTCGGAGGAGAGCTCAGAGGAGGACTGATGGGGAGATGCTGAGCTCGGGCTGCGGCACAGACAACGCGATAGAGGACAGAGGCAGGTATTTTTCTTTCAGCACTGTGGTTTATACGTCCTGCCATCCGCAGGGGAGATGCTGAGCCCTGGCAGCCAGCTGTAGCTTCTCCCCTGCTTTTCACTGTTTTGATGCTCAGGAAAGCAGGGGACCAGTTACCTGTCTTGCACATTGGCTAGTTCTGCCAACTTGAGGTTTTCTTTATATGACTGGTTGGTTGTTGATGAACAAAAGTGTTACAGGCTGTCTGCAGGGGAATTCAGGCATGTTTGCACCGTTTTATTTTTTTAAATTAAGTTTTAACAGTTTGGAGTTGTTGGTTTGTTGGGTTTGGTTTTTTTGTTACCCAAGTCATGACCAAAACTTGCAATAAGAGTGGGGAGAGACAAGAAGTCCATTGGCTGAGTTGCTAACAAAGGAAATGTCACTGGATTTAGCCCTGTGGTAGCTTTGTTTTCCCCTCTCCAGCAGAAGACCTATATGGCATCGTGCACAGGTCAGTGGGGCACAGAAGGGAGCGTGAGAGAATGCTCTCCTTCAGCAGAAGGTGCGCTGACCCCTTCCACAATTACGAAGAGAAGACACCAGAGTGATTGTTTCAGACTTCTCTCCAGCTCCTGGCAGCGCTGGGTTGTGCCCGGTCCTCCTGGGGGTGCTGAACCTGTGCTGGCAGAGAAGCCTCGGTGGGTGCTGTGTTCTGGCTCTGGTCTGCCCGATGCATTAATGAGAGATTGGTACAGAGTGGCTTTCCCTGCAGGTGACAGCCAAGCCTTGTTTTCACCAGATAAATAAATGAAGACGCGTTTGATGCACCTGTCACTGTTTCGGAATTAAACCCAGGGGCAGCCCAGGCCTGAGCCACCGGGGTGGTGCTGCGCTGCTGCCGGAGCAGGGCAGGGGCTGGGGCGGGCCGAAAGGAGGCAGAAGAGGGGCGGGTGGAAGCGCTGCCCCGCGCGGCTCCGGCTTCGGCCCGCACGGAACGCGAACAGAAGTACCCGGAGGCCTGGGGTTCGGCGCCCCGTGTCACTTCAGAGCGGGCAGCGGGGGCTGGCAGCCGGGGGAAGGGCTGCGCGCTGCCTCAGGCCGTGGCTCCGTCCCCAAAGCAGAGTCACCGCGAGGAAGGGACCCAGCGGGGAAGTTCCTTTACGAGCGCAGCCAGCCTTTATCGCAGCGCTTCTCTGCGGCCACAACGCCCAGCAGTGCCGCCGCTTCGCGGACAGCACTCTGGGGAGCCGCACCCTTACAGCCGCGACCCACTCCGCCGCGCCGTGCACAGTTGTGCGTCTGGCAACCCGGAAGCGGAAACGCGTGTGAGCCAACAACGTCCGGTTCCGGCGCGCAGTGCCCTTGGGCAGCAGGGGACGATGGCGGCGCTGGTGCTGCTGCGGGCGGGGCTGGCGCGGCCCCGCGGCGTCCCGACGGGTGAGTGCCCGCCTGCAGCCCCGCGCCGTCCGCCCCGCCCGGCCCTCATCCGGCCTCGCTCTCTCCGCAGCTCTGCTCCGCGGGACCGTCCTCCAACGCCCCGCCGTGCTGGCGGCCGCCGCCGATCGCAGCGCTCCGGCCCGGCAGAGCCATGGCGGTGCCCCGGAGGGCCGCGGTACGTCTGCGGGACCGGGGCTGAACTGCGGCTCTGCGTGAGGGCGCGGTCGGGAGCGTCCTGAGTCGGAGGTTCAAGGCCAGGTTGGATGCCCTGGGCAGCCTGGGCTGGTATTAAATGGGGACGTTGGTGGCCCTGCATGTGGCAGGGGGTTGGAGATTCGTGATCCTTGAGGTCCCTTCCAACCCTGGCCATTCTGCGCTTCTGCGAAAAGTTTAGAAGCGTAAATAGGGCTTAATAGTTGTGTGGCCCTGCAGCGGTAATAGCGAAAGTGCTGCAGGTGGAACCTGTACGGCAGCGGAGCTTCTGGGTCACCGGGATCGGCCCGACGGGGTCGGGGGTGGGCAGGGCATGCTGCTGTGCACTGCGTGGGGATGTGGGGATTGAGCTGGAGCTGTTCTGTCACTGCACAACAGTGGGAGGTTGGTGCTCTGTGGCCATGACAGTGCAACCCAGGAGTGGGAAATGCACAGAAGTGTTTGTAAAAGAAGTTGGCTTAACTGCCACAGTGCTTTCTCTGCTGCCTGGCTGTGACTGCAGGCTGTAATGGTCTGTGTTTGCTTGGAGCTCTGCTGTTGAGTTTCTACTTCTTTGTATTCAAGGAAACTTCTCTTAACGGCGGCAAAAAGAGGAATATTTAAAGCAATCTTTGTAGGCATTATAAAACATATATACTGTTCAGAAGCATCTTGGTTTTGCTCAAATCAAAGCATAGTAGTCAGGTTGAAAAAATTGCATGGGGCAGATTGGACCAGGCTGCCTGTTTGTGCAGTTGCAGCACTTGAACAGAGCTTTGCACTGAACAGCACTTTCCTTGCAGGCAGTTCCAAGGCTGCATCCCTGCACTGGACCAGTGAGCGTGCAGTCAGTGCCCTCCTGCTGGGCCTGCTCCCCGCTGCCTACCTGTACCCCGGGGCGGCCGTGGACTACTCCTTGGCTGCAGCACTCACTCTCCATGGCCATTGGTGAGCACAGCGGGTTCCTCAAAACAGAGTCGGGTCTGAGAGTGAGGGTGGCCCAAGTCTTACAACCAGATGTGGCTCTGAGTCAGCTGGTTCTCAGCATAAAACTGCTGGAAAGAGAGGCAGGCAGACACTCTAGTGACTGCCACGGCCTTTGACAAGATTGACTGTACCTCGGGCTGAAGTTAGCACAGCTGGCAGTGCAAGAGTGGCTGCTTCTACTCCTGACCCTTATTCCACTGCCCGCTTACAGACAATAGCCATCATAATGGAAGAGTTGGTTGCCTTTCAGATCGCTTCCATTTTCTGCTGCTCTTCTATCTAGGGCTTCCTTGCACCCCATTTCTCACACTCATCATTAAGGTTTCAGAACCCCATCTAAATGAAACTGAGCTCAGTGTTCTGTTGTGATGGCATCTGCTGCAGGACTGAGAGTATTGCTAGGGAAAAATCCTAGGAAGAAAATTGAATATGCTTCTGCTTTTCTTTTGTTTTTTTTTACCAAATTGTCATTGCAGAAGGTAAACACAACTATGATTTTGGGAAGAGAATTGCCACATCAGTTTGTGGCAGTCTTCCTGTTGCTGAACAGTTTTACTCTGGAGCAGAGAGTTCACTTCAAGGCTGACAGATGTAGAAAAAGAAACAGTGCTAATTTCTAGCTACTTTCTAATCTAAAGACACGTCATGGAGTCCCAGAGTTCAGGCAGAAAGTGTATTTCCTTCAGTTTGCTTTCTTTAGGCCTTCAAAGTCAGATTAGTTACCCATGGCTTTGTAAAGGCACATCTCTGTTTGGGAGAGCTGTAATCAACACTTTCCACCCTGTCATTAAGAAAACTCTGAGCCAATAGTTATGTATTTCAATAGAATGTATGGAATATTTTTATGTATTTTTTTCTTACTTGCATCTTCTTCTTTGAGTGGGAACTAAATGCCTTCTAGGTAGTTCTAACATAGGGTGGTGAAAATACTGACTTGTTTGCACTTTCATAGCAGTGCTGCTCCAGTAGGATGCTGCCATAAGCTCTTTCTTGATTTCTGCTTGTTTCTCTTGTTTTTTAGGGGTCTTGGGCAGGTAATAACTGACTATGTCCATGGGGATACTCCCATCAAAGTGGCCAACACAGGTCTGTATGTGCTGTCGGCCGTTACCTTCGCTGGCCTCTGCTACTTCAACTATTACGACGTTGGTATCTGCAAGGCTGTGGCCATGCTGTGGAGCCTCTGAGATGCAACTAGTTGCTGGCAAACATGATTGTTCCTTGCTGCCTCTGCTTTACCATATTTTTAACAAAAAGTTTAATGCAAGAACAGTGAATAATCAAGGGTCTATAGTTTGTACATATAGCAGCCAATTCGGAGCTCATCCTTCAGAAATAAATCCCCATCTTTCTTTTGATTTATTGCTACAGCAGGAAAAGTCTTGGGATTTAAAGTGGGTAACGTCCAGTGAGTTGATTTAAGCTGCAAATGGGAAGGGGTGACATGAATAACAAAGTACAGCTGAGGATGGTTTCCTTCTACAGGCAGCTTCCATGAGTGTTTTTCTGAAATACTGCTTTCTGTTTTCAAGGCAGACTCAGCGATAATAGAACTATTATTTCTGACATCACAATGAACTGTGTGTAAGGCACTCCCTGTAACTCTTCAGGCCCTAAGAGAAAGGGGAATACTTTTTTCTTAATCCATCCAATAAAGAATTTGCAGAAATTGCGTGTGTCGTTCTGAATGATTTTTACTACTGCTGTTTTACTCTGCATATATTATATATTTTTCTAAAATCACTTCAAATACTCATTCAAGCTGTTATAGCTTTGCTTTATTCGTTTAGATATTATAAAACAAGCAATGTTTTATGAATATGAATATTTTATATGAATTGTCCTTAATTCCTAAAGAGTTAACATAGACTTTATACAAGAGTGATGTTCATAATGAAAATACAGCAAGAATTGACTTAGAGAGTTCTGTCGGTTAATTTGAGATGCTGTAAGTAGCAAATGGATTCCATAGTTTCCCCGGGAGCCTGTGTTCATCTGCAGCATCTTTTGCTTTGTAAATAACCACAGTTACGGATTTTCCTGTGTGACCAAAAAGAGAAGAACGTGAACCTTTAGAGCGTGGTAGACTTCAGGCTCAGCATTCTTTTCCACATCTTTAGATTTGAAATCACTTCAGAGGGAAAAATGCAGTTCCCATTTTCAGCTTTCTGCTGAGACTTGCACGGTAGTGAGAAGCAGTTGTTTCCACGTTCTGATGGTACTTTTGTGGTACTGTTAATAGTGAGAGGAACAGACATTGCCATTGTTTAGGCAATAAACACAATGAGTAAGCTGCTGAATTCTGCAGATTTCGTGATTTATATTAAAATATTTTTAAAATGATGGGGCTTTCTTTGTTCGTTTTTCTTCAATTATATCACCATGGGAAATAGTGTGCAGCTGGCCACTTCTGTTTGCTGGACTTGCTGTCAGGATTGAGATGACCATTTCTGTCTGCCGTGGTCTGATGTAGGTATTGCTGGAACACATTGAGGAGGGTGCGTGTGCATGACTCACAACTCGCTAGCTCTGCAGGATCTGAGCAGCTATCATAGAAATTGACATTTCCTCTTCTGAGCCCAAACGTGGGTTGTATCTGTGTGTGGTATTCTTGTCTGAGAGGTGTTGTGTGAGAAGGGAGCTGTCAGAACTCTGGTAACACAGAAACCCAGACAACTGGTTTGGAGGCTAGCACTGCTGTGACCAGCTTTCTGCACTACTGCAGCTAGAATGGGAAGGTAACAACCACAGCTTGCTCTGCAGGAAGCACGTCTTCCAGTTCTGCCAGTTCCGTGTACTTTTGTTCTAAATTACGGCTGTAACAGTTTGATCGATTTGATCCATTGTTTTGAATATTCATCAGGCAAATTAAAACAGGTCTGTGTATGTTAATGCATTTTTTAATTTGAGCCTCTCTAGCAAACTCTTTCTAAGCTACAGCACATTCAGTGGTGCCTGTATGTGAGTCCAGAGAACTGCTTTTCTTGCCTCAGGAATTCCTGCAGCAGCTGGGTGGGTGAAGCAGCATAGTATGAAAACTGACAGTTGTCACAGCACTTCTACATCTCCAGCCTCTGCTTTTTTTAAATTTTTTTTTTTAATATTTAGTATTTTTTTAAATACCAAAACAAATGCTGAGATTTGTCTTCTTCTGTAAATTTGAGGAATTTTTGATTTCGTGACAGAAGCTTTCCTGTTTTCTTTGATTACTTCTGCCTGTATGGGATATGACAGTTGTACCCTCTCTCTAATTGCCTCTTCAGCCTGGCAAAGTGAGAATCCAGGACCTCAGCTTCAAACCACGTCCAGGTAATCACTGTCTGCAGTTGGCTGAGGAAAGAAGGAACAATGCCTCCTTTACTCCTATACACAGAAAATGAGAGTCATACAATTTCTGGAGAGTAAATATTTGCAGTGTGTTACACACACCTTATTTTTGCTGAATTCCAGTGTTTGCTCAGCTCCGAATGTGAAAGAGTGCACAGCTCAACCCCAGCATGTCCTATGTTGTCATACACAAAGATAGCTTCCTTGCCACACCATTTCCGTCTTTGTGATCAACAGCCCGTTGCATGTACAAATGTTTGCTTCATTTCGTAGTCATCTGCAGCTTACTGTCAAGTTCCAAAACCCCTTACATTTTCTTCATTTTCTCTGAAGACAAACAGCATTATTAAAATTCCAATTGTTCAGGTAAGTTACCAGTTCTCTAATAAAAGATGCTGCTAAGTTTACGGTAAAAGTTGTTGCTACTTCTGTTGAAGTAGCACTTCATGAATGCCACTGTATGAATGCCAATGTAACTGAAATAGGTGAAGACACAGGAAATAATGTAAAAAAATAATAAAAAAGGTAATGACGTTTATTGGCAAGATTCACGATCTGGCATAGGAAATGTGCAGTTTTCTTTTTTTCAGCTGTTTTCTCTCCATCCCCAGATGGGGAAGATCAAACATCTTCCCCAATCAAAATCAAACAGATCTTTTCCATGTATGAGACATTTACCTCAAAACTGTTTGTTCAACAAGCTCTAAAGATGTTTGAGATCAAACTGTACAGGATTATGAACACATGCATGTTCTTGTTTATACACTTCGTAATTCTCTTTGCTGTCATTTGCTAGAAAACATTCTTCTATTGCTTTTCCCCAACAACTTGCATTTGTTTTGCATTTGAAGATGCTCGTTTTTGGACTATCTTACTGTAGCTGGCTATATGTAAATATACTAAATATACAATTGTCTTCCTTTGGATTTTGAATGAATTAGACTTCTTTCATAAAAAGCCAAATTACATTTTAAGAGTGTAGAAATATATCATAGGTTGTGCCTTTCATTACGACTCGTTACAAACTTTGTGGTTTCATCGACTTCATCTTCTCTCGGCAGTTTCTTTAAAATTAATTTTCTTAAGGAGTCTTCTTCCTCAAAGGCCAAGAACATTCCTTGTTCAAGTGAGTACTCAAACTTAAAAGCTTTGGAGCTGCAAGATGTAAATGTCTTTTTGAAAAATATGATGTTACTTTCACCAGGAATGTCTGTGGGAACTTCTCCTTCCTGTGGGAAAAAAAAGGGCAGGTTAGTCCCAGAACAGGATTGAGCAGTTCTCTTTCAGCTCATTTGCGTTCTCAGTTTTCCCTCCTAGTTGCATACAATGAGGTTTCAGGAGCAGATACTTACCCTAAATCGAACAACCATTTTCCCCTGCTCTTTCTCACAGCACATGTAGTAACTCTTATCTTCTACCTGGACGCTGAATGCAACAGGCATCCCTGCTGAAGGCGCGGTGGTCTTGTAACAGTGAATGTTGAAGTACATTCCAGTGCCTAAATGTAAGTTGGTTATTATTAATAGCTTGCTCAGAAGAGAGCTGCAAGTTCTTAGCCGTGCTTCTGTCTTTACTGCTGTCCTTCCATGACACTTTTTCTGACAGGAGAGCCAGGACTTTGTCAGTGGCTGCTGCTAACATATTCTTGACTTTCTGCCATCATTCAGTACAAGTTTGAATTTGCAAGAAGGCATATGAAATTGCCAGTTAGTATAAGTGGCATGTTCCAATCTTTTTGTGTTCGTGCACAAAGTGAGAACTGGATATGTAGCCTGATTTCCAGATGTATGTGATAAGTCATTTGTGTGTGTTCTGTACATGAAGTTCGAAATGAATAGCTGAGGCACTCACAAAGCAGAAACAAAACTGTAAGTGCCTGGCTAAATACTGCTGTTAGAAGTACAGGCTTTTAGTGCTGAATACAGTTGGCTTAAACCTTTCTTCTCCTTAATTCTTTGTATTGCTATTTCAACTCAGTGATTGCACACAACAGAAGCACATCTAGAATAAAGAAACGGGGCAGTGCTTATGGTGTAGGTATGAAAAGCAGCATACCAGATTTCACCTCCTGATCTGTTACATCTTCAAAAGCTGCCATGTTTAAATCTGGACGAACCACAAGCAATTGGCTATTGACATTTCGAAAGAATCGTTTGATAGTTTTTTCCTTACAAAACGCATCACATTCCAGCTCTGCAGAAATATTAAGCAAAGGGGAACAAATAATAATTAAAAACAAACGAACAAATAAAACAATGATGCTTTTGATCTGCACGGATTTTTGCAGATCACTGCAGGCTTTATTTTGTGATTAAAGATAGTGCAGCAAGTTGATAGAACAGCAATCACAAACAGAGCAGAAGCCATCATTCTTTCCACCTCTGGCTCCTAGCAGCCCAGGCAAGGCAGAAGTCTCCAATATAAACCAGAGAAGCTACAAAACCTGTTAATGGTAATACAGAGGCAACAGTGCTCTCCTCTGTCAAACAATTACAGTTGCACAAAAAGCTCTTTGTATTAAGGAAGCCCATATCTGCACCTCTGTAGGAAATATAGCAACAGCAACTTCAGAAGGAGGTGATCTGTAGCTCTTTTTAGAGTAGCCATTAATCAGTTGGAAAATTTGTTCTCTAAGGCACACAGAGCTTTCGTGGGTTAGTACACTTAAGCAGGTTAATTTAGTTAAAGTTGATAAGGAAGTAACAAATGCTGGGCTTTCAGCTTACCATCATCTTGGTCCCAAGCGAGCAATGAGGAGGAAAAAAACACATCATTAACCTCTGCCTCACAAAAAGAAACCAATTTCTGAACAGTTTTGTACTGCAAGACTGGAAACCAGCCAGCCACGCACTTCCAGTATCACAAACACACCAAGCAGAGCTCTTCTCACCACACAGCATTTCATTTGGGAGCACAACAAGCTCAACAATGAAGCCACATCATCTGAGAACTGAAGATATTACCAAACCAAGAGGCATGCAAAATATTGTAGGGCTACTTAAAGGTGAGCAGCTCAGTTCAGTGTAGGCCTGTAACCAGGTGATGAATGGCATGCAAAATTGTGCTTCCATCAGCACCTTTGTTCCAAATGAGCAAATTTTGAATAATTTAAAATCGCTTCTAAGGAAGCTAGCATTGCCCAAAGAGAGATGGGAAGCTGGCCATTTATTCCAGATCACCCCACAGTGTTCCAACCCTTCTGAGGATTGTTTACTGGAATAGTGTGCAGTAACGATTTCACTGATGCAAATAATTCGCCGACAGAATTTCAAGCAGAAGCTTAGGGAAAAATTACGTGAAATCAGAGCAATAAAGACATTGGGTTTCATCAGCATTGGAACAGAGGAAGTTAGCCAAAGCTTAAGGTGTTCAGCAGCAATATGGTGCTGAACTGCCGCCACACTGGAACAGCTGCCTCAGACTCAGATGCTTTTTGCACTGAACAGCCTGGCTGCATAATCTAAGAACAATGGTTCTATGAAGAGTGTGGGGACAGTAACTGCTCTGAGGATGCTGGTGGTGTGGAGTTAAAGAAGGGATTCCACAAAGTCAGGGATGCCTGCTTAAGGAAAGGACTGAATTGCACAGCAGCTTTTGATCTCCTACGCAGTTATCAGAAACCCGGTGTCTCTTCCAGCAGTGGACAATAATTACCTTCAAAATAGAGGCAGAGGTTTTCTCTGAGCCGTACTGCACACACGGCGATCTCTTCACAGCTCATCTTCACACTGCCAGAAACACACCAAGAGGATTCGGAGCTAAGAGCAATGTTTCTTACTCTGTGAGCAGAGGGAGTTCTTGGGTTTGTTCTCCCTTGGTGCACAGTGCTGTACTATGGCCAGCATGTTTCTCTATATGTTGAAGAACTGTTTGCATGTAAAGGACAATTGGTCCCTTTATCTGTTGCTTTTTATCATTAGAATTATGTAGATAATCCTTCTAATTCTGTGATTTTATAACAGTTTTCATTGGCTTATGTGATGACTTGAATTATTGCAGCACACCAGGGAAAAAATGACAAAACAAACCAAAAGTGACAAAGAGACATTTGTCCTGACAAGGACTTGGCTGCTGGGATGGCTGCTGTGGGAAACAATAATTCCAAGAAATAAACACTAGAATGTATTTATCAACAAAAGAAAAACAACTTGATGTGGGTATCCTCTTCAAAATTAAAACAGCATTTACCACTCTTAAAGGGAGAATAAGCATAAAGGAAGCTAGAGCACAGCAGGGGAAGACAGGCATTCTCTCTCTCTGGCAGTATAGTTTTAAAATGACCTTTTCTATATTGCTGAGGTTTGTGAGGTGCTTTGCCCACTTTTCCCAGCACAGCCATGGCCACCAGGAGCCAGCATCTGTACGGAGGCTGCAGCGGGGCCACATGCATACAGTGTAGAGAGAAGGCAGAGCGTACGGACACTGCAGACAGACAGCATCAAGCAAACAAGGGCAATATGACTGTACGAACGCCGAAATCACTTTATGGAAGTAGTTTGGCACAGGGGGTGTTTCATTCAGACTGAGCAACTCCTGCCAAAACAGTTTTTTCCCTTGCACTCACTGATGGAGTAATAAATGTAAATAAATGTAAAACCCAGTAAACAATGGAAAGAACCAGCACTTGCACCAGCACTTCATTTTCATTCGGTACATCTGACTCGCTGCCAAGGCTCTTTTTAATCACTCAGAAAAGAATTATTAAACAAGCAAAATCTAACTGAGCAATGCCACCAGGTAACTAAGAGCAGACATCAGCCTCAGGGCTTGCTGCGGCGGAATTACAGTGATTTCCTCTGGGAAAGCACTGTAAGGAGTGCACTGGATGGCAACGTTTCCTTCCTTCACGTTCTCGGGCCCCAGCTGCTGGTTGCGGGACAGGCGTGAGACTCACAGCCGAGGGCTGCAAGGAAATAACCCCGAACAGCGCCCGCCTCATTCGGAGCAGTCAAAGCCAGAAACCAAGGACTTTTCATTCGTTCTAAAGAAAAGGGGAAAGCACGTGCCAGATTTACTGATAAAGCATTCAAGGAAAAGGCGGCCATCGCTTTAGCGGGTAAAGCCCACAGCCCATAGCAAACACAACGCGATCCAGCTCTTTGCCCCTCTGTGAGGCGAGGGGCTGCCGTTCCTAACGAGCCCCTGCGGGGAGAGGAGGGCGGAGCGGAGCAGGGGCAGCGGGGGGCAGGGGGGCATCGGCCGCAGAAGGGCAGCGCGGGACGCGAGCGGGAGCGGGACGGCAGGGGAAGCGGGAGCGGGGCTGAGCGCAGCCCGGCTGGGTGCCGCCCGGCTCGGCGCGCCCTACCGGCAGCCCGCAGGGAGCGCCGCCGCCCACGGGGAGCGTCCCCGCCCGGCTCGCCGCGCTCCCGGCACCGGGGCACCCACCGCGCGGCCGCCCGCTCCCCAGGACAGGCTCCGGCCGAGCTCGGAGGCCGCGATCCTACCGGGCTCCTCGGCGGCTGTGGCGCGGTGTAAGCGGGAGGGAGGCGGCGGAGCCGGGCGGGTGCCGGGAGCGGCGCTCGGAGCCTCCGCCTGCACAGCGCGGAGCCGGGAGGAGCGGCCGCGGGAGGAGGACTTCAGGCGGGTTGCATCACCGTCCGGGAACAGCGGCGGTGGGCAGAATGCAGTGCTTGTTCCAGCTGTTGTCTGTGTACGTCTGCATTTATTCGGTGGCACTTCCTCCTCCTCGGTGGACAAACCGAATCATGTAAATGTGAGGTTACGAAGGGAACTTTTTTGTTTTGACTCCCGTTATCTCACGCAGATGTCAGCACACATCTCGTTTTCACGCCGACACGATGGTGCGGTCCGTTCCCTGCTGCACCCATCCCCGGGCGGCTGTTCTGCGCTACGCTCCGGCACCGGGTCGGGCGCAGCGTGTGCCGCCCTCGTTCCCAAAGAGCACCGGGACACACAGCTCTGATGTGACACCTCCACATCACCTCCCCTCCTCCGTATGAGCGTCCTTCTGGGGAGCAATACGGGTTCCTGTGGAGGAAAAGAAAAGCCCTGGGGGTTGTGACTAGCAGCTGGCACCAGATGAACGGGGAAACGAAAGAGGGAATGGCTTTAAACTAAAAGAGGAGAGATGTAGGTTAGATGTTAGGAAGGAATTTTTGACCCAGGGGGTGGTGAGGCGCTGGCACTGCTGCCCAGAGAGCTGCGGGTGCCCCATCCCTGCAGGCACTCCAGGCCAGGTGGGATGGGGCCCTGGGCAGCCTGAGCTGGTGGGGGGCAGCCCTGCTCACGGCCGGGGGTGGCACTGGGTGGGCTTTGAGCTGCCCTCCAACTGAGCCATTCTGTGATTCTGTGATTCTATTCTATGAAATGATGGCTCCTAAGTTGTACCACCTGTACGTCACTTCCAAAGTCATTTCCAAAATTGCAAACAAATAAAGTGACAATAGCCACTGCTAACACCTAAGTGGCACAGCCGCACTGTGTGATGCTCCTCAGGAGGCGAGTGCTGGGGTGCTAAATGCAGTGCAGACACCATAACTATAGTGTAAGTGCTGTGTGCTGATAGGACAACTCATGATATAAAACCAGGAAAATAAACTTGGGAATGGATAAGCAGCAGACTTCTGCAGTCTTGGAGAAATCATGGTTTGGTCTCAGGACTGTGGGAGAAAACTTGAGGCATTCTCCCTACTCCATGCCTGCTACTGCTCTTGGAGGTGGTGTGGAAATCCATATGTGCCTTTAGGGCTTACATCTGAAAATGAGGAATATAATTTTGAGGCCAAAGCAGCTTCTTTCAGTCTCTTCTCTAAAATAATAATCCTAAAACAAACAAACAAAAATGGATCACTTTCCTAAAACTGCAGATCTTGTTAGCTCCATCCATAGGGAGCAGTGTGCTTTGCTGGTGTCTGTTGATGAAAACTACAGGCATGTCAGAGAAATGCATAACTTTTTAAAAGCTGTTGGAAGGAACTTATGACATTGATTTAGAATAACACGTAAAAAGGGGAACTCATGTGTTATGGAATATTTCTCAGAAGGAAAAATTTTCTTTGCCCAGTCACTGTAGTATGCCAACAGAGTAAAGGCTCATGTTTCAGGCAGATAAGCATAGAAAAGCACATTTTTGGTGACACTGCTTTCAGATAGTGAGTGTGTGCATATACATCCATTTACACTGAGTTATGCTGGCAGGATTTAAACCAGACAGCAATATTCCATCATCCCCATCCAATTTCCTGATTTGTTACAAGGCGTTTGGAGCACATGGGTTGTGTTTACCTTGAGCTGCAGTTCTACCATCCTCTAGGTACTCTGTTTAGGCGGTTGTTTCCTGCAGTAGTATCTACAGATAGGTCAATAAAAACATAAGTGTCTTCTTCCCTGCTTACTTGTTCCTCAGCATTGTCCCCGTAGCCATCAACTTCCTTTCAGAAGTTATAAACTACAATTGCTCTTTTCCGATGGAAATAGAAAGTTTCCGTTTTTTGTTTCTACCCCTGAGAAATTTTTCTTGTCATTCAAAATAACATTGCGTTTTTTTCTTCGCACTCAATTATTTTTTTTTAGACCTGTGGAAACATTTGATGGCATTACTATGCTCGGCCCCAAAGTTTGTGCAGCCCCATCTCTTTCAGCCTGCAGTGTGTGTAGGAAGCAATAGGTTATTATTATTACTGCTTATTCTTGTCGACCTTTGAGACCATAAACATCCCACTGGGTCCCAGAGTTCTTCCCTCTCCGTCTTTACACACTTGTGTGTTTAAGGACCGAGGTCGAGCTGGTATCTGGCTCTGATGTCGGTTCCGAGCTTCCATTTCTCCTGACGCTTTGACATATCCATTTTCAGAGGAACCAGAGCTGCTCGCGAGGGAACGGCTGAGATGCTCTTCTTTCCCATCCGAGCTCTTTCCATCAACTATCACATCCAGAATGTGGTAAAAGGCACTTCATTTATTTTAATGTAGGTGTCTGCTCATGAAAACATGCCAGCATGTTAATTTAATTCACACTTAATTCGCGTATCGCTCTGACGTCTATCCGGACGTGGTTCCTCATCACCTCGCTGTGCCGCGCCTGGCAGCCAGCTGAGCAGCGCCGCTGCTTTGAGGAAGCGTTCAGTTCTTCTCCCAGCAGTTTCATTTCTTGCCGCGAGCTCTGGCTTTCAGAGGACCTCCGGGCAGTACGTGTCTTTTTTTCTCTTAAAACCAGAAGCGAAAGATGCGAAAAATTCCCCCTCCGCGCTCCTGTATTCCGGCTCTGTCCCAACGGCCGCCCCGAGGCGCGCGTCCGCTGCTCGCGCGGTCGCCATTAGGGCCGCCAAGGGCGGGAAAACCGAGCGCCGGCTGAGGGAGCGGGCGGGAGCGGCCCTGCGGAGCGCCCATCTCTGCGGGTGTTTCCCGACCGCGCCACAGCCACGCACAGCAGCTGATGTTGTACTTTATTCCTATCTATCTGTTAATCAGATAACTATGACGAGCAGCGGGCAGAAACCTGATGAAAGCAGAAGTAAACGCAGGAAAGAGCTGGAGGTGAGCCGTGAGGAGGGGCCTCAGCAGCACCTACACTCCGTGAGAAGCAACTCCAGATCTTTTTGACACTCTTCAAGTAAATTCTGGTGTCGAGCTTGTTTCAAGCTATAGAACCTGTGTGCGTGTATATATATATATATTATATATACAGTTTTCATGTGTTCTGTTGTCAGGCCGATGATACAGAAAGCCCTCAGCTGTCTTCTGCTGACACAGCAGACCCAGCGCTTTCGGATGGCCTGCAGTCCCTGTACAAACCTGAGCCTCTGGAAGAGCTGCTAAACGGTGATGTATTCACACACCCCGAGCTGAATGCTGTAATTGGACGCCAAGATAGACTTGTTCCACTGTTTGAATGAAGTCACTTTTTCTTTTAACAGAGATGAATAAAGAAATCAAGAACTTGTTGGCAAAGTATGCCCACATCTTAAGGCAAGTTACTGTGGTCTCATTTGCACAGCACTTCATAGTCATAGAATCACAGAATGGCTTGGGTTGGAAGGGACACCAAGGGTCATCAGATTCCAAGCCCCTGCCACAGGCAGGGCCACCAACCTCCAGATCTGGTACTACACCAGGCTGCCCAGGACCCTGCACAACCTGGTCCTGAACACCTTCACGGATGGAGCATCCACAGCCTCTCTGGGCATCTTTTCTTGCTGTGATGGATTACTCTGGCTGCAGTTAATTTTTTTCTTTTTTTCTTTTTTTTTATTTTTTTCTGTTACAATTATAAACAGTAGATTTTGAAATAAAAGCGATGTTCTTTGTTACAATAGAGTAACAACAGCATTTGGTCAGAAACTGAGTATTGATTGACTCCATTTTAAAGTAAAAAATAAAAGCAGCTCTAACTAGTGAGGAAATCATTAGCCTTAGTATTGAATTTCACTTTCGCTGATGTTTTTTCTTTTTTCCTTCCCAATTAAGTGAGAGAGCAGCAATGGATGCTTCTTACGTGCAAGAGCTTGATGGAATCTTGAAGGAAGCGAGAACAATAGAAAACCACTTAAAACAGAAAAAAGAGAGTCTGAAGCAGAGATTCGCTATGATTGCAAATACTCTGCAAAGCTAAATGAAGTCTGTTACGTTGCAGAAATGCTCATTGTTGTAATCAACTTCGATACATAAAGTTTATAAACAATGCTGGATGTGATGAATGCTTCATACGTATTTCTGTAAATATTTCTAGCAGTTCAGGAAACATTTGTCACCTTTAGCTTCTTATTTGTTTTAATAAGTATATGCACTATAAGGAGTAGTGGTAGTTCAAAAGACGCAAAATATTTATTTTGAATCCCACAATGACTTCAAGGGATTCTACAGATTAGAACAGCATTTCCTATTTGCCAATCCACTGTTTAGACTGTTGCTATGCTTCCATCCCAAGAAAATTAACTTTTGGTACCCAAATCATAGTAGAATGTACCTTGAATTTTACTTTCGTTGTTGTCTCCGAACATAATTGAACATGACTGAAAAGAGAAGCTTAGAAATAGGAGAGTTCTATTAAGAGTAGTACTTTGGAAATGTATAACAAGAGCTTAAGTCTTAATGTAAATATGTACTTTGATATATCTCCAGCTTTTCAAGTGAAATGAAGAGTGTTTTCATATAAAAGTGCATTGTCAAAACTTTTCTGGTAGTGTCAATAAATAAAAGATGATGTTATTACTATCTAGAATTCCAGTGTTCTTTTTTTTTAATTATTTTATTATTATATATATATATATATACAAATCTAGTTTATTTAAGGGCGATTATGGAGTTTTTTCAACAATTTTTCTTTCCTGCCATTTGACTGTTAAAAAAAAAGATGAAACATAAAATATGCAAAATATTATTTGTACTATATGTGAAGGCAATGTAGTAAAGAAAATTGCGAGCTAGTCCTGCTGTTATAACATAATATACCTATCCCTTCCTTCCCCAATACTGTGCACTTGAAATATTTTCAGACTTAGTCCTCCTTTCACCCTTTTACCTATTAAAGGCCACAGCTGAATGTGCTACCTATCACACTGCTACTCTGAAACTTGACATCTGTGATGAGATTTTCCAAGGCACCTAAAGATGCAGTTGCATCCTCAGTAGGATTTTCAAAGTGCCTACGCACGTAAGCGCCTTAGATGCTTAGGAATTTTGAAAGATCCCATAAGATGGCTATCTGCATCTTTAGTGTCTAAAGACTTAAAATCTCACCACAAGTATATATAATCTTTTACCAACTTCTGGTAATTTTTAAACCAATCATTCTGGTAATTCTATTCAAATGGAAGAATGTAGAAGAAAGGGGGGGAAAGTTTTGGAAGCTGAATTTTCTAGAATATTGCACTGGATGTGTATAGAATCATTTAAGAAGTTGAATAAAAGCAGAATTTAAAACTGACTTCTAGGAAGTGTGTGAAAAGCTTCCTGCAGTTACTTGCATAAAGATCAAAGTAAAAATATGACTTTAATTACTGCTCAGTATCCATCTATTTTATCAAAGCCAAAAGAGGATTGCTGCATCACACACCCTTTTTAGCTCAGTTGGATTCAGATCATCCTTAGTTTGCGTGGCTCATAAACTGAGTTACAAAGCTCTTGCTCTCCTCTCAACTTTCAATATGATGCGGAAAAGCTGCATTGCATTGCATAGTGTAAGTTTCTTACCTTAGAGGATCACCAGAACACAGATTCACAGTGATACTGTTGCAGTAGTCTGCTCCATTTAAAAACCCGAATGCCAATAAGAAATGGCAGAACTGCTCTCTTAGAAGGATGAAGCTGTGGATGAAGTCGCACTGGCACCTATCCCATCACTATCCGCTTTCCAGTTTTACTGAAGGAGGTTGAACTGAAAATTAATTGGCTTTAAAGCTGCCAAATCTGATCAGCAAAGCTCAGCTGGTAACTACATTTTCTTTAAGCTTCTCCCCATGTTGTTTAAGCTGCATTGCCTTAGCAAATTAGCAAGAAGGTCTAAGATGACAGATCAGTAACAGAATATAAATGGATTTTTCTAGAAATCGAGGAAGCATCTGAGGCAAAGTTCTGGCCCTCCTGAAGCTGCAGGGATTTTCGTCTGTGACTCTTGCATTTCTGAGCTTGCTGTGGGTGCCTTCAGAATCCAGAAATTGTAAGTGACAAAAAACTAACATTCAGCTGTTCTCACTGCTCTGCTCTTATCTAACAGCTGGAAATGGAGAATAGCAAATAATGCAGAGATAGCTGAGGTGTTCAGGGAAGAAGCGTCTTCACCCGGAAAGGTTACTCATGGTTTTTCTCTTTAAATGAAATTTCTGCTGTGCATAGATGCAGGGAAAAGGAAAAAAAACAGAAGAAACGAGGTGGCGTGTATCATAGCTGTATTTGGGGCTCATGAAATTTAGGCTAGAGCATGTCAAAATTCACCTTTGATAATCTTAGAACCTCTAGGTTTTTCTTTGATCAATCTTCGAAAACTTGGTAATGAAGGCAGCGCCTACAAACAAGGATAAAGAATCGTAGGTTGATGAGTCTATATCTCAGCCTGTGGTGATTCTCAACTAAATTTCCTAACAACCACTTCAAAAGCATCTGGGAAAAAAAGCATTAGCAAAAAAAATTTTAGTCAGAGTTGCTAACTTAATATATATGTGACAACAGGGATGGAAGAGGGTGTTATAGCTTGGTGTAAGGTAACCGACACTTGTGCATTCTGTTATATATAAATAGGAGCCATCAGGAAATAGGGGCTGCAGGGGAGATTAGAAGTTAATCAGAGGAATCATTCTCATATTTCCTGAAAGGTCAGCTTGGGTGGCGTTCTTCAGGGATCTGCCTCAAGCCTGGTTTGTTCTGTAATATCCTGAATGATTTAGGAGAATGACATTGGAGAATAGTTTTTTTTTTTTTTGTTTTGTTTTTTGTTTTTTTTTTTTTTTTAAGCAAGCTACACAGGGTCACAATTCCTATCAGTAATGTATGTTGAAAATTCAGTAATGTATGTTGAAAATTCACTGTAATCTCACTAAGATAATGAATGGACCTAAAATAGAGATAAAATTCAAAACAGATGTGGGAAGCATTACACTTATCTAGGGGAATCAAGTGTTCCTTACAAAGCAGAGGAATGGCTGGAGCTGTTATGATGGCATTGGGTAAGAGAGAAAAAGAGAGGAGATGCTGTAACTAAAGAGTAGTGAGTAAGGCATAAAAGCATTGCTGTTCTTTGCTCTATATGAGCCGTGTCTTAGCTGGGGAATTGAAAGCAGGCTACGCAGAGTCTGGAGTGGGAGAAGGGAGTAATTATGGACCAAAAACTATGATCTGTTGGGTTGAAGTTCAATTTAGAGAAAGCAGAAAACAAAGGATGGTGTAATCAGTGATCACACTGATCCACATCAGTGATTAAAAAAGGGCAGTAATCAGTGATAAAAAGGACAGTAATCAAATATTCACTGTGTCTCACAGAAATGGCGGGAAGAAATCAGCTTATTTTGCAACAGAAGATTTAGATGAGTAATAATCTGTCCCATCTTAAGGGCACGGTGGGATGGGTTACGCTGAGTGCTGTATGTGCTGCCCTGCCAGCCATCGAGGGCTGGGGCGGCTCCTAAGAACTATTGGGAAAAAATGAAGCTAACAAGGCCACAGCAGGGCATTCACACAATGGCAGCACTTTTCTCTTTCCGAGGGAAAGGAATGGGTTCACCTTAACACGAAGCAGCAGGACGCAGCGCACCTCTGGTCCGGCCCTGCCTGTTTTGGTGTTCTTGTCACTCAAACAGTGCTCCTGAAGTCCTGAGATCTCTGAGGTGCAAAATTGCCATTTTTGTCACAAACCAAAATATTTTGTCAAGTGGAAAAAGCCGAGGAAAACTGACAAAAGTTTTTACCTGGCTACCCGCACACGGATGCGCTCCCTTTCCTCCCCGGCTCCAGCACGTTTCCCCGCGGCGATGGATGCTTTCACTGCTCGGTGCCTGCGGGATGCGGCCCGGCCGTGCGCGGCACAGCGGAGCTGCAGCACATCCTCCAGCCCTGCCTGGCGTCCTGCCACGGCTCTTATTCTGAAACGATGATGTCAGGCAGCTCGGTGCAACCCTCTGCGCCCCGCTGCGCGCTGCCGCCCCGGCCCCGCTCTCCTCCCTCACCACCTCCGATCCGATGCCTTCTTCCGAGCAGAGTATGTTTTCCAAAATCGTTTTGTCAGCCGTCAGCATCCTGAGTTCTAATTTGCGGCATTTGCTCTCCTCTTTGATGCAATTCATTCCAGGTAAAACGCATAAACAAACAAATCCTTCCATCATCCTGGAAAGAGGTTTTCTCCGAGCTGCTGCCGGCAGCCGCTGCTGGCACACGGCGGCGGAGCGGTTCTGTTTATAGCGATCAGGAAGGAGGAACGAAGCAGTTCGAAATGTTTGAAAGCCAGAGGTTGTCTGTTATTTATTGAAAAGATGAGTGTGAGAGGCAAGCACGCTGCACAGCCTCTCTCGGATTATGGGCATATGCCGAAGGTTTAGCGCTGGGAGGCTGCTGCGAGGTGTGTGCGCAGCTCGGGAGAGCGTTTTTTTCGGGCATTTTTACGGAGGCTTTGGTGTGAATGCAGCAAATGGGAGGAAATGGTGCCGTGGGATTTGGTATCACCACGGGACTCGGCAGCCTCTGCTGTCACTGCACAGTTTGAGTGGTCGCTTTTTTAGTCTAAGAGAGAGAAACCTGTCACTACAAAGTAGGAAAACATGGAAGATCATGACTTAGTTTACCAGAACCCCTGCTTTTTCTTTCTTTCTTTGTTGTTGCTGTTGTTGGTCTTTTCCCCTTAGAATTAAAGGATTGCTTTTGGGGGATATAAAGTTCTGAAAGGCTCTTGGACCTGCCTGACACCTGTCACACACGAAAGAACAGTCGGGGACAGAGTGGTGCAAAATAAATGACTAAGTACAGAGCTTAGCTTTGGGACTGCTGTATAAAACAACCTATGATACCATTTCAAGGTTTCATAGTGTACATTCCAGACGGAAATAAAGCCCTTATGATGTTATTTTGCTTGTTAACAGATTGCAACAGCTATATCATTCAGTTACAACTGCTGTTCTCTTCCTTTGTTGTTCTTTGGAGCTGAACTGCGTAGGCATGTAAAGATTTGTGTTTATTGTTTTGATGATCTAATTAAAACGAGAAGACAAGAAGCTGGAAAATTTCTTTACTTCATTGTTTGCATCCTTTTGAAAATTTTAAATTTCCCTGACTTTTACTGAAGTTTTGTTAGTGAAGCTTGCTGATGATACAGTATTGTCTCAACTTAGCTAAAAAGTGAGAATGTTAAACTGTGGGAAAGAATGCTTTCCATTATTTTGTTCAAGCATTTGAGTGAAATAGTGAGAAACACAAGGAAAAAAAAAAAAAAAGGAAAAAAGTGAGAGTTAAATCTGTTCTTTCTGATACATTTTCCTAGCCCACACCTTATTCATGGCACCTTTCATGGCGTAGGTGTTCTCTAAGGATTGCATTGTGTAGATCAATATTTAAGAAAGAAGTTGTACTTCCTTCATGTCATCAAAAAAAAAAAACAACCCAAAGTTTAGAATTTATGTATGCTTTGTCATGTCTTTATCCTCTCCTTTTCTCCATTACTTTCCTTACTTTTCCCCAGTGTTTTCTGTCACTCTTTTTTTTTTTTTAATGTTCTTCTTGTCTTCACCATGTGTTAGCAAGGAAGTGGGTGGCTGAGTCCCTGGCAATGGGGAATCTCCTGGCTAGATGGAACGAGGAGCCAAGTGTGGGGACCTCCCAGCAGACACAAGGCAAGTGCAACAGCCTCAGTTCAGCAATCAGTGGGACAGAAGTTAACTGCCAGCCCTGTTTATCAACCCTGGTGATCCAACCCTGGTGAAGATGGGGGCAAAAGCTAGAGACTGAATGGTGGAAATCATAGCCACAGCCACTTTGGTTCAGTTTGGTATGGGAAGGAAGAAATGTTGGAGAAACCTATTTGTCTTGTCTTCCAATTCCAATTCGTAATTTATAGGGAAGATAACATAGCCATTGTTTTGTGTCAGATTCAGGCTGTCCTGCCCAAAGCACACAGATTACCTCCTCTGGATATAAACAATCCGTGACAAGATTGGTGACAGGCAGAGAAATCATGGCATACTTGTATTTGAAGGAGACAGTGCATGATGAAACAATGCCAGGCTTTGGTGTTTATGTAGAAATAGTTTTGCAGTTTTTTTCACCATTAGAAAGTACATACTGTACTTGGCTATGCCTCTGCTCTGGTATGCTAAAGTGTATTTGGGTCTTAAGCTTGTTTATAAAGTTTGGCAGCAACATGGAAATTAGGCGCCGGAAATAGTGTCTTTGAGTTGCCAGATTAAAATCTTGTTTAGATTTTCAGATATTATGCTCAAGCAAGCCTTTGACTTGTTGCTTATTCAAGTTCTTCCACCTTGATCTGTGGTTCAAACAACTGTATGTTGCTGCTTCCCGTTGCTAGCAGAGTCAGCATTTATTTTATGTACCTGTTGCTCAACATGAAAAGCCAGCCTGTCTTTTGTCTTTTGCACAGATTTGTGTCTTGAGTGGCTAAATGTCAAACGTGAAGAACATTGAATTTCCACATTTAGGTGTGAGCTTTGGTCCAATGATGAAATGCTTTCATTGTAATAGATCTTGAGCAGTGCCTTTGGCTGTGAAGTGTTTGTATTTCATCTGCTTCAGGCATTTCAGAGTAGGTGCAGATAAATGTCACAGGTTTTAGTGTTTTTTATTAAATCGGGGGGGTAGACTAAAGATTTCCTTGTAACAGGAAGGAAGTGCATGTTAGGCAGGTGTGGTTTTGTTTATCTGTGTTGTTTTTTTTTTCCCCCTAAATACAGCTGTGGTGGCTCAGAGTAGCAACAAAACAATTTCCTTTGGGCTCTTTGTGTTGTACTGTCCTGCAGCTTGATTTCTTTTTTTGCGTGAATGTGAGACTTTCCTGTGTCAGCAGGGAGAAATATGTATTACTGGATCATTCTGGTCTTACTTCCATGTTCTAATTATCCTGTGGTGTTTTCTGCTACTGATTGCATCTTGCAAAATGTTAATTCATCACCCATGTTTGCAAAAGTTAAATGTTAATTCATCACCCACGCACAAAAACACAAGTTGCATTCAGCCTCTGCAAGCTCCTGTCTGATCACATCCATCCAGCACCCGCCTAAACCGTATACAAGCACAGCTTTGTAGGTGAGGGTCCCCAATGCCATTTCCCAGCCACATTGCTCCCAGTGGGCAGCAATAATGAGGTGGCTTACATAATGTGATTTCAAGATACTTTTTGTGTTGTGCTGAATATGAGGGAGGTCATTGCTTATTTCTGTTGTTTGTTTCTTGTCATGGGTCTTTTCAACTCGTCAGAGCAAACCTTTTTTTTTTTTTTTCTTTTCAAAATTGTCCTAGAAAACGTCTGTTCTGACTCATCTGGGCATCATGATTTGATTACTCTTAGTACATTTTACTGTCGGGATCTTCATCTAACTTGAGTAGTACCCAGAAGGAAAGATGCTCCCTTGTCTTGCTATGCTTCTTGCTCTCTGTAGTCAGACAGCAAGGCAGTATCTGATGTGCTTTTTGTTGTGTGTAGCCTGATCTCAGATGATTTCTGCACTACATCTTGAAATCTTTCAGCAGTGGCTATGCAGGTTCAAGAAAGATGAATTCACAGAATCACAGAATTGTAGGGCTGGAAGGGACCTCTAGAGATCATCGATTCCAACCCCCCTGCCAAAGCAGGCTCCGTAGACCAGGTTCCACAGGTACATGTCCAGGCTGGTCTTGAACTTCTCCAGAGAAGGAGACCCCACAACCTCTCTGGGCAGCCTGTTTCCAGTGCTCCGTCACCCTTATTGTGAAGAAGATCTTGCACACAGCAAGACTAATAAGGCTGTACTTCTAGAAGGACCACTAAGATGATTATGTGAATAGCAAGGTTATCATAGGAGGAGGAAAACTTGGTTTGTTTATCTTAGTAAGTGATATGATTGCTCACTCTAAATACAACATCTGCCAACAAGACGGAGAACACAAGAGGGAGGAATGCTGATGTCATACAACAGTGCTAACAGAAGAAAAAGGAGGATAAACTGTACCATTAATATAACTTCTCTCTGTGAATTCATAGCATTTTTCTTATCATTTGGGCAATTGTCTCCAAAGCTTCCAAGCCTTGAGGTAAGATAGAGCTCAAATATAACTTTCAGGGGCAGGAGATGGGAGGACATGATGCAGGAGATCTCTTTCAGTCCTGTTCAAACTCTCTTGTGAAACATAACTTCCTACATTTCCATAGGTAATTCTGCAGCCCTCCAGGAAGTTTTTTTCTGTAGTTCCATCCTTGGTTATGCCATCTTTGTTTTTGCATGCCTGTGAAAATATCTCCTTATGGACATGTTGCTCTTGTGTTTTTGTTTTTTTTTACAATTTTACATCTTCACAAATTTCTTCTCAGCCTACTAAAGGTTTATTTCTGCAAATACTGGTGACGGTCATTAGACCTGCCAGCTATTGGTTGATATTGAAAGCTTCTTCTTCCTTGTGTCTAAGGAAATGCTAAGAGCACTAATGTTGGGATCAGATTGAGTGCTTCATATGGGATTTAATCAGAACTTAATTGAATTTTAAGAGGAAGAGGATGTTGGTGGTTTGAGGTTAATTGCTTTAGCCCAGCAGCCTGAATTCTTTGTCTAGCTGACTTACTATATTAGAGATCTCAAGGAGGATTTTGAGGATTGGCAGGCTGGAGAAGTACATGGAAGGGAGCTTGCAATTCAATTTCCTGCATGCCTAACACTCATTCTGTCTCAGGATGTTCTAAAGAAGTGAGCTCAGGGAAACGCTGTGTGCCAACACAGGTCTTCTGAGGATTTTCTCCTGCTCTAATATATCACTTGTCCTCTGTAGACGTGAATATTTGATTTCAGAGGCTCACAGGTAAATTGTTCAGAAGCTTCACTTAATCACTTGGATTAAAGAAGGTAGAAGAAGCATCTGCAGTGGTGAAAGTGACTGCCATCACTAGAATAA